AAAGGTGAAGTATGTGAAACACAGAGTAAATTGGAGTTAATATATAAATGTAATTTATATTCGAAAGAGGAGGAAAAATCACGGTGCTGGTTACGCTGGAAAGGCCAATCGCACTAGAGGCATTCGGCTTATGTGTGGCAGTATAGTGTCAAAATGAGTCCACCATCGGTGTAACGTAGCACACATGCCTCCAAGGAACAAATACCTAATAGAGTGGATTGATTCATGCTTGAAAAGAAAATAAACTTAAAAGGAGAGAGATGTAGTGTATGTGGAAACACTAGCAGTTTATTATCTATCGTCTCGAGCCGAGCGTACACGGACCGCCGTGCGCAAGAGGGAAGGGATTCCCTGCGCAAGCGCCGCGGAGTAAAGACGTGGAGCTATGGCTAACGAGCCGATATTACGTCGATAACAACTTACATACAAGAAGACATAAATAACAAATAAGTGAACACTATAGGATTATTCCGTGGTTTTATGCCACAATTAATTACTGAGTACAAGATATCATTATAAAGCAGTTTTAGCAATAATTTCAGTACCTAATTATTGAAAATGTGAAATAATCAACGAAAGTTTAGTTTTAGTAGTAAAACTTTAGTTAAAAACTTTAGTAAAGAGAGATTCTTTGTAATAAAATTTAACTATTATTAATAAACAATGTAATGGAACGGGAATTGTTAGTTATGTGGATTAATGACCCTATTGCTGGCAATCTACCGTGATAAATTCCTGGTGTATCTTTTTTTATTAGGGATGATAATGGTAGGTACATCCGCCTGCGCTAACGGTATACCAGTCAAGGAGGATAGAATTCGTGTGAAGTCAAGTCTTAGTGCAGGTAAGTGCACTATTCCATTATCAACCATAAAATAATGCTTTTTGATTAATGGCTCTAGCCATAAATATAGTAAAAAAACTAGGTTTTTTTTTTCAGTATAATGGTTGTTTGCCTATCCACTAGTGCATAAAATATACTAATACTACTACTATAATGGTAAAATAACTATAATCTACATTTTAAGTTTACTTGCGGAGCCAAAAGAGAGATAAAAAAAAAAGATTTCATGCTCTGTGAAATTATTTGGCAGAGGCGGTTAAATGTCATGTTTTTGATCTGTCGACATTCTAATCTGTGGTAGAATCTCATCTCATATATTTATCATTCCAGTATATTTGTAAAATTTAAAGCCAAAAACTAAATATACCAAATTCAAAGCTCTGAACTTCATTTTACATGTAAATAGTTACTATGCATTCAATTAATTAAATTTTGGACTTTCAATATTACAGAAAATACTATATTTCATCTTATAGATAACATTTTTAATTACAATTTTATGGTATGGACACTATGATAAACTAAAATAAACAACTGAAATGCATCGTACGATTGTATTCGAGGAAGATATCGTGACCCACCTCAATGACAGCGTCACTACATATATCAAGAAAGAAGATGTCTCTCAGTCTCATATTGGTAAGCAAGAGTTGATTCCGTTATTTGGTAAGACTTCAGAATACAATACACGAAGAAATACCGCATGTAAACAGTTTATTAAACAGACAGAGCCAGATATAACTACAAACAATAACATACTTGAGAAAGCAAAGGAATTACGTGCAGCAAAGAATGATCATTATGAAAAGAATGATGTAACCAATAAATCTAAGTACCAGGATGGCAAAAATATAGTCAATGTATTACAACCTTGTGAAATATGCAATAAAGTATTCAAGACATATAAAAAACTAAAACATCATGTTATGCTAATTCATACAGATTATAAGTCCTTATATAATATAGATAATAAAAGTATAATATATCAACCACAATTGAAAGATTTCTCAAATAATACTGAAGAAGATAAAAGACTGAGTTGTACATTGTGCGACAGAACATATAAATCAAGGCGCAGTTTGACCCGACACCAGCATGTCCATACTACTAATGTTAAGTTACATAGATGTAATGTGTGTAAAAAAGATTTTTCAACAAACTTTCTTTTAAAACGGCATTCAATTGTCCATCTAACTAAAGAAGCCTAAAATTGTGACTTTTGTAAAAAATGTTTAAGATCAAACCATGAAATAAAAGAGCACTTACTTGTTGATGATAATTATAGGCCATACATTTGTGTTGTGTGTAAAGAAGATTTCAAAAGACCGCAGCATTTAAAACAGCATATGCGTATTCATACTCCTGATAAACCTTACAATTGCGATGTGTGCAATACATCATTTAAAAGAAAGGAACATTTGATACGACACTTATATCTTCATACTGATCATAAGCCATATAGTTGCAATGTATGTACAAAATCATTTATAAGAAGGTGCTATTTGCAACAGCACATATTTGTCCATTGTGAGATTAGACAATATATTTGTGATATTTGTAAAAAAAGTTTTAAAGATAAGAAATGTTTGAAAGAGCACCTACAAATTCATAGTACTGAAATTCGATATAGTTGTAACACATGTAAAAAAAAATTTAAAAGCAAGAAGGGTATAAAACTACATTTGGCTCACACTTGTAAAATTCTATATAGTTGTGATGTGTGCAAAAAGATCTATATTAAAAAAGCTAATTTGGAAAAGCATATTACAGTTAATAAGCATATTCATGATAAAGATATTTCAGTAAAAGTATGTTTAATGTCTACCTGAAGTGCATAGTGCAAAACAAGAAATTATGCATCAACTACTTAAGAAAAAAGAACCAGGATTATGATACTTGAGATAATTATAAAATTATTTTTGCCATCATAAATTTTGAATATCAAACTAATCTTTTCTAAATTTCTATTGTAGTAAAATAAATTATGTAATTAAATTTTTGAGTAATGTTGTTAGTCTAATCCACTGGTAAAGTTTCTTCAGAACACAAATTTATTTATTGTTGCTTTACATATATTAGTATAAATTAACTATTTAATTTATACTAATATATGTAAAGCATATATATACCTAATATATACCTATGTATACTTTGTATTATTCTCACCGGTTAATCAATATGTACGTACTTATTGATTCATCGGAGAGAATAATATACTTTATAATTTTTTGATATTTCTTCTTTTAAAATACGTAATTAATATCGTAATACAATGCAGTGGCGTAGCTACCGCCGTATCTGCCGTATAAATTATACGGGAGCCCCGGACCGCGGCCCCCCGTTTATTTGATAGTTTTGACTTCCCAATTTTTTTTTATTTCACTAATGACAAAAATAAAAGCAATTTCTTTTTTTCTGGCATCAGCTATAAATGACGTAATAGATCAGTGTGCCGAACACAGGCACGGAGAGGTTATATTTGATTTTAACTGTTTGATTATATGTATTGATTTAAATTTTTTGGAAAAAATGACAAAAATAATTACGATGAATAAATATTTATGTTGATTTTATGCAATTTTTTTTCTTTTGTGAGAAATCTTAACCCTTCGTAAGGGCCCCTAAAAAAATTTTATACGAGGCCCCGCCAAGGCACGCTGCGCTTCTGATACAATATCTTTATTTCATTTTAGAATGTATAAAAAAAATTAATTCGTTAAACGCAATAATAATATATGCATATAAATAATGAATATGACTACGTATTTACTCTTTTCTCTCTACGTATTTAATCTCTATTATCTATACATATAAATAAAATTGGAGTGTCTGTTTGTAATATTGAAATAACCGTTTTTTACTACATGCATATGAATATAAATCAGTACATACACCAAAATAACATTTTTTACCATATTATCTGTCTGTCTGTTTGTTCCGGCTAATCTCTGAAATGGCTGGACCATTCGAGCATCCGAGAAATTTCAGTCTATTTTGACGGGACTTTTTTGGCAGGTAGCTGATGTAATAAGGAGAAACTTAGGCTACTTTTATTTTAGAAAATAAAGTTTTAATTCCACGCGGACGAAGTCGCGGGTACAGTCAGACCAGTCCATATTTTGGCGCTAAAGTTGTTACATTTTTAAATGTAATTTTTTAGGCAAAGAAACCGTATTATAGTGCTATATTGACATTATTAAAAATAAGATTCTTACAAATAATAACATGATAATATTTCAAATCCTAAAAATAAGAGATACGATTCAACAATAATTACTGTTGATGTTTTGTTACTTTCTTTTCTATATAATTTGTAGCAGGAATCTATTGTCAACGAATTCAGTGTTATATTATTTGTTACAAAATAAAACGCAACTCATAGTTATAATTATTATAATTAAAATTTTAACATTGAGTTACTTTTCTCTTTTGGTAATCTTGAATAATGCGCATAGAAACTAAATTTAGTTTATTAAACAGACAACGTCTACCCATTGCAATATCCACGCCACAATATGCTACAACATGACATACTGATGTCAATTTGACAATTCGATTTTTTTTCATTTGTAGCTATTGTAAATACAGTGCTCCTCTTACGATCGTTCTTCATTTATAGAGACACTCATCTCATTAGAAATTCCTTTTCCTTCATCCATTGTATGCCTATTAGCTCATCCTAATCCTATAATTTATAAATCTCTTGCGTCTTTTATTTCCCATAATAACATTAAACTTTAAAACCCATGATCACTAATTCCGAGTATATTCAAAATTTAACCCGTTCCTTTCCATTATCCCGTCTCGTTTCCTGTTTTTAGTGGCATAATAGGCAACACTAGCCTCTTGCCAAAGAAGAGAAAAAAAAAAAAAAAAAATCATAGTTTTCCTCAAATTTTCAATACTTGTTGTATTGAAGATTTAGAACCTTAGTTTAGGTAGAATCTTAAAAGTGAAGTTGAATATAACCGTATTCATGTAAGATAGCATAGACTGAAACTCAACAATCATGTATTAATGTAATCGCTTGGCTGTTGTCAAAGATTCAGAGAAAAGAGTCCAAAGCCGTAAAACTGCAAAATTAAAAAAAAGTAATGTAATTAAGGTGACGATGTCAGATGTCATATTTTAATATTTATTTTATTCGTGTAACTACTTTGATCTGTTTTACATGTAAATAACGTTTATTTCTATGTAGGTATCATTGTATTTAAGTGTTATTTAGTAATGTTGCATTAGTTTTAATATTACATAAAATATTTTTAGATTCACAGGTGGTGTTATTTATTAAAGTTTATGGGCTGTAATTAAGGCATACCGAGATGCATCGTACAATTGTATTTGAAAAAGAATGCTTGAATCACCTGGAAGGCAGTGTCACCACATATATCAAAAAAGAAAATTTTGACTCACAGTCTCAAATTGTTGGAAGCAATGTTGAAATTAAGCAAGAGTTGATTCCACCATTTGAAGAGTCTCCTGAATACAACACAGGTAGGAATATTGTATGTAATCAAGAAGTTAATAACTATAAGCCAGGTGTAGTTACTAAGAAAGAAAATGTTGAGAAATCAGGGGAATTATTCACTGTTCAAGATATATTTTCGGGCAAAGAAAATGATATAAAACTTTATGAACAGCATGAAATAAAGAATGAGCTAACTGTTGGTCCGACTGCTGTAGAGACAGCGATACTTGGACATACTAATTATTTATTGCATTTGAAGACTGGTTACCAAAATAATTTATACAATGAGAATGATGTCTATGAATCTAAGCACCATGAATGTAACATTGCATTCAATAAATTACACTCTTGTGAAGTATGCAGAGAGGTGTTTAAGACATATAAAGCACTAAAACATCATGTTATGGTAATTCATACAGGTTATAAAAATGCATCTGAATCTAATTTGAAAGATGTAGCTAATCATTCTACAGAACATCATACAGTGATTTGTGAGTTGTGTAACAAAACATTGAAATCAAGTAAGAATTTGGATCAACACCGGCGCATACATACTGGTGTAAAGCCACATCATTGTAAAGTGTGTAAAAAAAGTTTTTACACAAATTCACTGCTGAAACGGCACATGTTTGTGCATGTCAGTGAAAGACCTTATATTTGTGAAATATGCAAAAAATGTTACAAATCAAAACATGAATTGAAACACCACATACTTACCCATAATAATGTCAGGCCATACATTTGTGACGTTTGTAAGGATTCTTTTAAAACACGGCATCATTTAAGTCGTCATATGGATACACACACTTTAAAAAAACCTTTCAAATGTGATATATGTGACATGTCATTTAAAAGGAAGGAACATTTGCAACGGCATGTGCATACTCACAGTGGTCATAAAGAATATAGTTGTGCTGTATGTACAAAATCTTTCATAACCAAATACTACTTACAACGGCATATGGCTGTCCATAGTGACATGAAATATAGTTGTAATATATGTAAAAAATGTTTTAAAGATATGAGATATTTGAAACAGCACCTAAGTACCCATACTACTCAAACTCCATATAGTTGTGACAGATGTAAAAAATATTTTAAAACCAAGAATGGTGTGAAACGACATTGGGTAGCTCAGGCTTGTCAAATACTTTATAGTTGTGATGTATGTAAAGAAAAATTTAGGAAAAAATATATTTTGGAAAAGCATATTATGGATCATATTCATGTTAAAGTGAAAGATGTTCCCGTACAAGTACATTCAATGTCTACCCGTAGCAGTGTACGGCGGCAAAGATACCCTCCTGTTAGTTATGTAGATTAGGACCTGAAAACAAATATTAACTTTAGTATCTTGTGCTTAAATAAAAAGAAATGGGACCACAGACTGCATGTCATCCATATAGTACTAACTTATGTACTATTTAAGTAATAATTATTAACTTATACACTATCTATTATAAAATATCTTAAATAAATAAATAAATTTATGGTCATAGCATTTACCATTTACAGATCATTTATTAAATTGATGATATATGTTGTCTATTGTCGAGGCAAGTTTTTGAGTTATTGGTCATAGGTTTCAATATTAATTGGCATCCCATGAACTAGTAGCAGGTTACCTATCTATTGTATTCACTTCTTTTTTCCATAGCAATCATCTTCATATTTTTGCCTTTGAGTAGTTATGGTCAAATCATACTAATTTACTACTGATACCTGAAGAAGTAATAATTGTACATGGCAATAAAGTTTTAAAGCTTGAGTTTTCCATGAGATTAAAGAATTATATTTCTGAAAAGTTTACTTTTATCAATAAATGAAATTGAATGAATCGTTTTTTATTGTTTGTTGTAATACATGAATATTCTGAAATATGTTTGAATAATTAAAAAAAAAATTCATTTAGTATAGCTGTAGTAGCGAGTAATAGTAGGAGTTCATACAAGCACTGTCACAGACTCACAGTATAGTTGTATACCTAATAATGTATAACTTATAAAATCATCTATCAGATGACAGCCTCGATGGTGTGAGCGTTTATCAAGAATGTTGGAGATATACAAGAAAACAAGGTGGCTAATTTCTTTCCTAAAAATATGTACTTTAACATCATATGATAAAATATAATTTTGATTCCTAAAGAGAGGTTAGTTGATAATCAATTTGATTGGAGAACTTGGTTATATCTAGAGTACAAGATTATAAGTCTCATCATTGTTGTTAGCTTGATTTGAGGTTTGAATTGCTTGTCCACTAATAGCTATAAAGTACATTTGTATTATAATTTTGTATCCGAACGGGCCCGTATTCGTTAGATTGGCTTGGCCTTCAGCCACTGCGTAAATCTTCGCGACTATGGAGACTATGCCATCTGCACTCGCCTCTTATCGTTCGGTGAAACTGTAAAGGCCAGCTGCGTAACAGTATTAGAATAGTTCGAAAAAAATCCTAATTTGCCCAAAATGGACGTGGGAGCCCTAGAAGCGGTCGCCGTCAACGGAGTTATGTGGGCTAGGACACTCATTATCATATCTGTTATTGAAACTACCTACATGATTAAGTACTATATACCTAGTAACTTTGTAATCTGAATTCTGAACGAAAATGATTTTTTATTGTTTTTGTACGTCAATCTGACTGACGGTTCCGGCAGAATACTTGCAGTCAGTCAGTGTCAAAGTCTGACTGACAATTACATTTCCTCATGGTCGGAGGTGTCTGTTTACTTCCTAGTTTTTTAATTTTGTGTGAAATTATTGAAATTTAACATGGCACAAGGCAAATTAAAAGTGAAAAGTAAACTCCCTGTTGGAAGTAAGGTTAAGAAAGGGAAAGGAAAAGCTATTACGAAACGAAATAACGCACCAGTACCCAGCAAAGCTAAGGCAGTAGAGCGAAGCAAAATGAAAGATAAAGTAACGAAGATGGTGAATGCAGCAGCTGAGCAGCAACTACGGGCGTTGGCTTCGAGCTCGGGGGAGTTGTCAGCAGCACAACAACGAGCTGCGAAAGCGCCAACTGCACCAGTACCCGCCAAATAACACATAACCTTAAAATAATCTGTGCTATGTTTTCACAATACTTAATTGTACTTCACATAGTTATGAAATGTATATTCGATAGAATTTTATGACAAAGCAACACCATTATCATACATCTTATCCCATATGAGAAAATTTAATTATGTCTAATGTGTTATTAGATATGGAAATTTAAATAGGGGTAATAAACTTGAAAGATATCAATATTAGACATTTGGAACTAACAGTATTATAGCGTTAATAATTATTAGTTTACTTATTCAACTATGACAAACAAGACTATAACAGTATATTCATATGTATAGTTTTGCCACTATTCTATGTGAAGTATAAATAAAAGTTTTTTGTGATTATATAAACCTGTGTAAAAACAATATAATTGTAAATAAGTAAATACATTACTAATATAAGTAATTGCTGGTATTTTTTTTATGACATTTTTCTTAATAAAAAGAAGAATATTTTTGTCAACTAGTAACATGCACTTATACAATAATAATTATCAATTAGAAAGTTCTAATATCTGTCTGAGCTTAAATTTATATAATTTTATGGACCTGTCTGAGTTTCACCCAGCTTCTTGCAGCTTTTTGCGTTCTGTATATGTATATTGACATAATATATTGTATACAGAACATAGCTGCTGACAATGGGATCATTTATCCAGGTTACTTTCCAATCCCAACAATCCCCTTCCCCCAATACTATGTGTTTATACTTATTAGGTTGTGAACTTGCAGTCATCATCATCATCATTGCAGCCTGGAAGACGTTCACTGCTGGACATAGGCCTTGAACTAGAAGTAGGCAATGTTAATTAATGAACAGTATTTATATTTTAATTACTTTTAGGTAGGTTTGTAAAAAAATATTGTTGCCTCAGGCAAGTTGGCAGGAAAACCAAGAGACAAGCAAATCATTTATGTATATTTGAAATGTCTAATTAAGCCAATTAACATAATGTCTCATAATATGGTATAATTAAACAATATTTTTTTGTTTATCACTTCCACTAAGAACCATGGTCAATTTAATATTATATCATGGCCTATAATAAGCATACGCGCAATGCTTCTATTGATAATTGCTAAATTGTTCAGATGTTAATTATTAGGGAACAAATGAACATACATATCAGTCAATAATTAGGCCCTCCTTTTTATTTTGCCATAGTTGAGTAAAACTGTATTAATATTAGTAAATTGGACATAAGTATAACATCGTCTAATTTACTCACCGAAAATGATAATACCTTTAACAAAAGTGATTAATACAAAACACGGCGATGAGGTTGCCAAATGTTACGGTCAACACGATGTTGACACTTGGATTACAGCCATTATAGTATCGATACTTACCTAGAGGTTAAGGACATTGTTAGTAATGTGGCTAATGACCCCATTCCTAGCAATGTACCATGTCCGGTGTATTTGTCACTAACCTGACCTCATGCTCAACCTATCATCCTTCACCGGTGCCCCGACAGCGTATACAACTGAAACTACGAAACCTTTATTATGTTTTATGCCGTTCTTCATAAAAATAACGGGGAATTTTTGACAATAGTTTGTTTCTCTACATAATTAATAAATTTGACGCCTTTAGTGGTTTAGCACACCGCTTCACTTCCAATAGTCACGGGTTCGATTGCTCGCAAGATACAATAATTTCTATCCATGAGTACGATTTTTTGTATCGGTCTGGATGTATTATATCTATATTATTTAAGTAATTTAAAAGAATGTATCTAAGTAAGTAAGTCAATTGTCCAGTAGGTACCCAAAACACAAGCTCTCGCAAATTAAGCAACTTGGGATTTAATGAGGTGTATGGATTTTCCAGGGGTATTATTTACAGGAACTATGATAAACCAGTAAATGTAAGAATAAAAATGTACCAAATTCGATGAGCGGTACATTTCTATTGAATTTAACAGACATCGATACCGGAAATCTTTGTCCTTAAATGTAAGTCGGCCAAAAAACAAGTTATTTAGTTGTAGGAAACTAGATATAACGGGTGGACTTACAAGATTCGAGTCCCTTTCGCATTTGCAGAAATCTAGTTAGTCCATTTTCGAATCATTATGTATACCCATATATACATATATAATATAATACATACATATAATATGTTTGAAATGTAAGTTGTGACTTATATACATATATTTTTTTCTTAATGGATTATAATGGAATTGTGCACCGGTCTCCGTTGACGGCTAATACTGAGAACCACGTGGCGTTCATCCTGCCATGGTACTTTGCTAGCAATGGGGTTCTAGTCCTCATTACTAAAAATCCCTTGGCCCCTAGTCGGTGCGGTTCAGTAGTAATTCATAATCTTACAAGCTGTGCCCGCGGTTTCGCCTGCGTGTAATTAATAGTCTATGTGTTATTCTGATGTATAAGCTATATTATTGTAAAATTGTATTAAAATACATTCAATAGATCTTGCGTGATTGAGTAACAAACATCCATCCATACAAACCATTTGAAAGCATCCAGCAGTTTGAACCGCGGGCTCAACTAGTATTTTATAAGTGGAAGTTTGTATGGATGGACGTTTGTTACTCAATTATCCAAGAACTACTGAATGTATTTTGCTGTCTGTGTTATTCTAATGTATAAGCTGTATTATTGTAAAGTTTCATTAAAATCCATCCATCCATCGTCACAAACTTCCGTGTTTATAATATTAGTGAGATTATACGACATATTTGTATAAAGTAAATAATAATAATTATAGCCCATTTTTCCGAAAGTTGGGGTACATTTGCTGTTTACAACATTTCCCGCAACCCGGTGTGCCTTTTGGCATAGGCCTCCTCCAGTTCTCTCCACTGAGCTCTGTCTTCCGCAACCCTGTTCCAGAACGGTCCCAGAGTCAGGTTGATGTATGTATGAATATTATAAAGAGCAAAAGTTTAAGATTGAATATTCAGAATAATCCGGTACTTTCTTTTTTTAATGTCATTGCCAATATATCTCTGATTTCTATAGGCTATGTAATATCACACAAGTTTACACAATAAAAGCAGAACTGAAAAATGTTTCGAAAACGGGCCAAATGTGACGCAGATGAAATTGCACGGGTCAGCTAGTTATTATTAAAGCTACATGCAGTGCACAGTTGAGTACACATAAGTAGATACATAGGTATGAGTACGTACCATAACAGGGCAATGTCGCATGGTGAGTGAACGGGTCCAACCTGCATCAACGCTGTAGGGCTGCCTCTCCAGACACTTTATTTTTTTCGGATTATTCTAATGCTTGGCCGTAGGTCTTTACAGCCTCACCGGACGGTAGGAGACAAGTGCAAACGGCACTTCAGCGGTTGAAGGCAACTCACGCCTGACGCATACGACTTTAGTCTGAGGGCACCGTTGGGGGTTCGATCTTTGGCTAGGTTGTCGTAATTTCGATCCCCGTTTGAATTAGACGGGGGTCGATCAAATAAGTAATGCTTTATTTTTTTCTAGGATTTTTGTAACAAATTGTGATGTTGACAATCCTATCGTACATTAACTATAATGCTTTATTTGCAACTACTTAGTGCAGTCGATATAATGTGCGGGTACAGATGTCTTCTATTGATTTATGATATAATGTAAAGACAAAAATAAATAAAGCTTTGATACGATGTAAACCATTGTTTTATTAAGTAATGACTAACATAGTAATAGCAGACAAACACACTTTCGCATTTATATACCTACATATTTTTAATGGATGATGATGGGTTGGTAGCTAGCTCCTTCGCTAACAGTATACGCAGGCGGATATTATTAATAATTTATTTAACGATATCCATCGTGACGAATTAATCAGAAATTCATCAGAGAATTAAGCTTTGCAGGGGAACCGTGTGGGAGCCGCTATGACCAGGTACATTGGTTATATAAATAATATATATATATATTTCATTAAAGAGTGATATCTGCCGCTTCATTTTTGCCGCCAATTTTTTTTATTTACCATATACTACTTATTCTAGGCACATTGGTTATCTTATTGGCATGGATTAATATGATTAAATATTTGACAGCCCTGGAAGAAGAGTGCGGGTAGGGGGGAAGGGAGGTGACCGGGTGATGCGCCGATTTCACCGAATAAGATTAATAAATGCAGGCGGCGAGGGGGGGGGGGGCGTCGCAGGAGCGTCGCGCGGCTAATGACACGCGCCGCTGCAGATATTTTTTATCGCGAATTTAAAACATAAACTGGTTGAGGCAGTAGCTGCCCCCGCACGCCCCTCACCGCCCCGCTGTAGCTGTCTACACATGGCCCTAAAATCCGTTTTGGAAAGTATAGATCGCTTTGTATAAAGGTAAAATCGAGAAAAATAATTTCCTAATGATTTTGGTTTGCGAGGGAGATGATTTATGGCGCTACCCATCGCTGATGTCAGTATCGTCATCGGTTTCAGTGCCGTATGTAGACGCTTTATAGCCTCGTCTGCGCCTGCGGCCTGCACCTCTACATAGTTCAAAAGTGTTTAATTAATAATGCCTGTTATACGAATGTCTGTACCACCACAGATAAGATAATGTTACGTAGCGCCTCTTCAATTACATTTGTAAAAAGTAGCACGGCCTTTTAAAGAGTTCATGCTAAACACAAAGCCATTTCATTTTATTCATTCATTCATATTAAGTGCACAAAGTAGAGTCCAAAATCACTTATTCACACTTCCATATTTGTATAATTAAACATTTTCATGGCTACTAATAATTGTATTGTTTATTGTTACAAAAACACATAGTCTAACACGGTTGAAATTGTCTCATGAATTAAATATTCCTGTACATGTGTTTCTAATACGAATATATTATTTATTTATAATAATAGTATTATAGTATATAGTAGTCCAGCTGGTATTGCATAGATAATACTAGAGGTAGATTTTAAGAAGTTGTCTCCATAGCCAATTTCTTACTTACTTCAATCTCCAAGCAGTTTACTGTATTAGCTGTTTGGTTGTAGGGTGTGATTAGGTATTGAAATTATAGGATAAGAGACATTCGACATCCAAAATGGTAATGTACATACAAAATAACGTGATAGGAGTACCATTTACCTTGAGGAACACCTTACATTTCAGGTGAGCCATCGCAAGACCATTCCAATTACATAAAAATATATAAATCATCTTTGAAACAAATATTTTGTTTTTATAAATCTTGAACATGATTCCACTAGTATTGTATGCGTTTGTATCGCGTTGATGTCTTTTGTAGACGCGTCTCACTCCTGTGCTGTTCTCGTAATTGCGCAGGAGTGAGACGTAGTTACCGGGCCGACAACCATTCAGGCGTGTCCGGCGGCCGATCGCTAGACATTAGATCGCATGACGGCCTCGGTGGTCTAGCGGTTTAGCACTTCGATTTACTTCTGATGGTCACAGGTTCCATTCCTCGTGCGTTACAAACATTAGCTATTCACGAGTATAATTGTTTGTTTTTTAGACTAGTGCAACCTAGTCAAAACGTCGAGGAAGAAAATACCTTTATTTTTCATAGAATTATTCGTGTTAAGACCCGGTTCATAATATAAATAACGATTGTTTGTATCGGTCTGAGTGTTTTCTATGTATATTATGTACGTATTTACAAAAAATCTAAGTATATCTATTTAGTCTAATACCCATAATACAAAGTCTGCTTAGCTTGTGAGTAGATGGCGTTGTGTGAATTGTCCAGGCATATTATTACTATTATACCACGGGAATCGGGATGCTTAACAATTGATGTAACGTAGACGATTCTATGGCGTCCGGTCTATGATTCGCGGAAAGCTGTGATTTTTCGTGGAGGTTTCTGTGGCATGTCATAGTCTAAGATGGTTCAATGAATGCTTATCATGACTTGAAATTTGTTGTTGCAATTCCATATAGTTATAATAATATACTAATGATAATAATGTAGTATAGAAAGTAAAGTAGGCACATAAACTTTATGCTGCTCTTATGAATCTATTATTAATGCTCTGAATAAAGTTTTAAAGAAATTAATATGAAAAAAAAATAAGTTCTAGGTACCTATCGATTATCAAAATTCGCATCGTTACAGGCTCTTGACTTTGTTTTTTATTTACATCTTAGATTGCTTTGTATATAGTCTTCTTTTGATACAGTTAACGATAACAATATTAAATAGGAACTTTCTATATTGGTATATATGTACTCAGTCAACGTATGTATGCTATGTAGCATGCTCATGTAAACTGCATTATTTAGGTTTTTTTTTAATAAATTTTAATGTTAAGAACTTTAAGTCGAATTCCCTATATTTCTAATTATTGAGTTAATGGAGTTTATTATTAAGCATGCGTAGTTACTAACATCGCACAACGGTGTATCTGTGAGGATCTTTGCCATTGGTGTCGGCGGAGTCGCGCTGTCGCTGTGATACGACCGGAGACAATAAATCCGGTTCGGCTGCAACGGGCGGCTTGCAATTAAGCTAGTGTCGCGACGCAACGGGCCCGCGGGGTAGGGTTGTACCATTTTGCACAAAACGTCTACTAATTAATCGATTTTTTGATGGCATAATAATCGCTTAGATAAAATCAAGTGTAAATAAATAATATTTAGGGATTCCTTAGAACAGATTACGTCCTATAAAATAATCTTATCGAACTGAAGTGAATGCTAATAGTTATTATTATATTATTAAATTAAACAATAATCGATTTTTTTACAATCGTTCTTGATTTAGACGAAAAAAACTTGAATAGAACAAAATCATTTGTTCTAAAAACGATTACGATTATTAATTAATCGATTTTTTTAAATAAGAAAATCGATTATATTTACATCCCTACTGTGTGGGGCTCGCGAACCGTGCGAAAGTGAAGCCGCGGGAGGAGGGACCCACGGATCCTTCACAGAGTATATATAGCAGTAGGCACATTGAATTTTTTTGCTCAGCTCAACTTCAGACTGACTCAGCTCAGACTGTATAGAATCTTTTTTATAGATTATAATAGAATAAAGTACCCGTCTGCTATAAATGCTTTTTTAAAGATGATAATGGAATAGAGCAGCCACCTATGCCAACGGTTAATGCTGGCGGGGTACCAGTGGAGGATGATAAGGAATTTATCTCCATCATTTCTAGGGGGAACCGCGTGGATAAGTCCACCTTACTAACAATCTACTTCCCCCTGTGTTAAATGATGATGTTGGCAGTGTGCCAGTGGAGGGTCATATGGTGAGCAGTCAGTCAGATCATTTAGACCAACATGGCGCATTCACCAGGGTTTAACTACAATGTTTCCCATGGTGGACCTCGTGGAGGTGGAATATTAGCATTGAGCTTACTATTTCCTGATACTCATATTGTCTTTTCTCACCTGTATAAAGTTCTCGGTGTGGGTACCTCTGTCTTACCTTATTTAACTTCCAAGCAACTTGCTTTATTAAATGAGCTTATCTCACATTATAAGGCAGTGAAATTACAGTGTGCAGAGCCATGGCCTCCTCCATCCCGTCGTAATTAGAATGACAAATAACTTGGCGGCCCAAGTGATTGTAAGTGGTAACCGTCGCAACATCACGGGACGTAAGATATAATTTATTTATTCATTTATTTCAGGCAACAAGGCCCATATTATAAATACCTTATAGACTAACATACATATAATATAATATTTAAAAACTAATACATTGATATTGTCTGTCCGCCGGATAGGGCGGATACCGGATAGTTACCGGATATCCGTTTCATCTCAATTTTTTTTTATTGAGGGTTTTAGGCTATTCTCAGGTGCTAAAACCTATAACACTGCGATCTTAATAGATTTATAACAATCATTACTTAGTTAATTACTAAGCAAGCTGTTTTGTGAAATACGTGAGACTAAGATAAATTATATATGCAAACAATTTTTCTATACTAGAATCTATACTGGATCTAGCCTATACTGGAATAGATTTTAATCAATTAAGAAACATGATTGGAATTTTTCAGATGTTAGTATCAGCTCAGAAAAGGAGCATTGAACGTGCTGTGACTTGTTTACACTGTGGTACGGCAGGATGTAGGAGGGCCACAGTGTCCAGTGCAGAGTTGTGGTGAGTGGAGACTATGGAGTGGAGGCGCAGTGCGCGCGCATTGATCGGCGCGGACGCACGCGCGAGTGCTCCGAAGTGCGATGTCGCGCTAGCGGCGCGCCCGGCGCCCCATGGTGTACCCCGAAGCGTCCCGCTGGGGCGCGCCCGACGCCGCTCTCGCGCCCCTCTACGACGACGTGTACCGAGGTCAGCTGATATTTGCAAACTTGCAACGTGCTCCTTACGAACTGCATCCTTTGTTCCTGTGTTACCATCGACTATCGTACACTATCCGCTATTAACATTGCCGTCTTCCGTTATCTGAATATACCGAAACTAGTTATCGAGCAATTCACCTTGAATTGTTCTCGTTTGGCAAATATGCCCAACAAACTTTTCCTAAACAGTAGCTTTCAGAAGTATAACAATACGGGTGAGTTAATTTCAAACGGATCACATGACATCTTTCGTTCGCGGGCAGTGAAAATATTTGACATTAGCGGCTCGCCTCGGTTTCGCACAAAGCAATTATAATAATTTCCCATATTTTTTTTTATTATAATCATTATACATCCCTTGTCAATCAATGATCACAGTGTATAGGAAATAGGATTTTAATTTATTTTTTAGTGGTTTATCTCTTTATAATTTCATAAAACACAATGTTCCTCAACATAAATTGCGTTTATCATTATAACTTAGTCGTTAATATACAGTAACAAACTCCAATCAGTTTCTGTTTTATTTGCAATATTTAGACGCATCGAAAGTTCCACACTTGGGTCGTAGTCGAGTCAATAAACGGCCTGTTGATTCACGCCGAGCTTGTTGCGAACTTGCAGATTGCACAATCGTCTGTAGTCTCGGCTCCTTCTGACTCACGCGATTCTACAGCTGATTCCGTTCTTTATAATTTTTTTTATAATGATCATGTAACCTTATGAAACTTATAGTTTATTTTACGTTTTATTTTATCTACTTTTACATTGTAATTACAGATTTAAGTGTATTTAGATGTGAAATAATATTTTAATTTAAACAGTTAAGTATGTTTATTAAGTTGTTTCTAGTTTATTTATTTTTACGGCTAATTTTTATTATTCATATCAGGATTATTGATAAGAACTCTTTGTATTTGAGGATAGAGTTTACTTTAAAACAGATTTTGGTTATTTCTTATAACCGGATATAGGTATTTTATTTCATTTTATTTCGTCGTTAATATTCAATAAATTAAATATTATAACAGAGACGATGACAAGCTATTAAATTTGTAATTTTCCGACTTTGTTATGAGCATATCGTTTGAATATCTTCAATATTAAATAATCTAAAACTATCAGATACTAAAATTTTCAAATCTTAATTATAACTTAATAAAACAGGATCCATCAGTGGGCATATAGATACATATTTGGATATATAGATATTTTTTAAAACATAAAAACACAAATCTTAAGAATATATGTCTTTGTTCAATAACAACATAAACTTTGAAGAATTTAATTATTACATCATAAATATTCGATGAACGAAGTCATGCGTCTCGTGATTGAAATCCTTAATTAGGATTAGAAATTAATATCTATATGATTTCTAGAATATTATCAGCATTGACACTGTCATAAAAATCTTGGGTTTTTCCTACGAAAATAATACAATATTTATATATTTTCCATATTCATATTAAATTAATATAAATAGATATTTTTTATCCACATTTCACATATATAATATTTTGAAAATCGGTGGTTTGTCTTGTTTTATATACTTACTTATGTACTTTCTTGTTATGAAACCAACAGTTCTGGCATGAATGTTTAGTCTTGTAAAAATAATAAAAGAAAGTTCTTACAAGACCTAATAATTCAAGTCTAAAGCTCGAGGTAAGTTCACACCGCGAATTCCCATCGCACAAATTTTATTGTAGAAATTGTATAATACTGTTCGCATACGCGAAAATAGAAAAAAAATTTACGATGTACGTGTAATAAATCCACAGTATAATATTTTTTTGCATAGATACATTATCATAGATATATTTAATCTTGATTTAAATTATTGCGAATGTTTTTTGAATTATGTGTTTGTGTATCGCTGACCTTACTGCAAAAACTAAAACGCGGGTGGCCATTTGTATGCAAACATAACCTATAAAATTCTGGCCTAGAACTCAGTTGTATCACAATGAAACAATTAATCAAGTGTAATCTGATATATTATCAGATCATACAGTATTATAGTTTCTATTTAAACATAGAAATACATACCTATATAATAAATAGTTGTGAGTACGGTGAAAAATTTACTCGTAAATTTGTGTATGTCAAAATGTCATTTAATTAAATGAAATCAAAAATCATTTAATCCTGTAGGATATTAGGGAATTAATGTCTATTTTTTTATATTAATACTTTTTCCCTATCGTTGAGTTCAGTATACAGATTCAATGGAGAAGAACTGGCAAGAAAGTCAACTGAATATCTTTCTTTAAAAGCGAGCTTATTTACTTTGTGTACTTGTGGCACATATAGGTATCCGTCAAGCAGGAGCTGGCCTTCAGCTGTTTCATATATCCTTCTACTCTAAACCCGTGTTTAAAGTAACCGTGAAATATTTTCCTCCGGAAGAGCTGTAAATGCCAGCTGCGATCAACAGCATTAGAATAGGCCGAAAAAAAAGTTAACTGTTTGAGAATGATGTTTTCGTACCTCGTACCGAATACAAAAAATTTCGTAGGGCTGACATCCCTGTTTTAGTCTTCCATAAATATTTTATATTACATATATCTATTGTCCATTTAATAATAAACATTTTGGAAGAAACTATAAAAAAATGTTTTAACGTACTTTAATAGCACATAAAGTTACTCTGTACAACATACAGATACAATAGACGAGCATGAGAAGTATAGAAGACTGTCTTCGTAATATCTCAAACGGTTGTTTTATTATCAATGGGAACTACAGCGTCGCGTCGGTGCTTTAAAGCTCAATTAAAGCTTGAAAATTAAACTGTCTTAAGGAAATTCTATAATTGTAGATACTTTTATAGCAACTCATTTACGACGTAGATAAAGTTGTTAAGCTAACTGTATTTATTATGTTAGATGTGATGTACGTATCACAATTACTTAGATTTTTTTTCCATTGTTAAAAAAAAACTACGAACCCAAATTTTTTTTGCCATAAAAAGGAAGTTACTTTTTTCGATAGGACTTTCAAAATGTTTTAAGTTAATTCCATACTAATTTTATAATTAGAACGTTTGTCTCTCTGTTTATTTTCATTATGAATTTATTTAATAATTTTTGTGTAATTTTCATTTTATTTAGATTCTTTCACAAGTCTAGCTTGCAAAGGTAACAATCTTTTTCACATCTAAAGTAGTGAATAGACTAAAATTTAAATTTGACGTGAAAGATAACACATAAAATTTTATTATACTTTTACCTCAAAAATGACAGACGAAGTCGAGAGTCGCGACTAGTTATATATATCCAATTAAAATGCCCTATTTACTGTAACGTATTATTAAAGTTATTACATACAGTCTATTAATATCTGATGTGCATAAGTCGCTATAAGGTCATGCATCAATAAACTGTGTTGTATTATTTATAACTGGCGACTTCATCTTTGTATGGTAATATAGAATATGGTAAATGTATTCGTATATACTAAATTACTTGTGTATTATTATTACATTTAAACATATTCATCCGTTTAAGAATGATTTGAGTGAACAACGCGACGTAACAAATTTATATAACAATGACTAATGTGTATGTTTTAGGATTACTGTTAAAAAGAAATCTGATTAGATAAAAATTTTATCAGTTTTTTGATTGAATTTGCTCTATAAAAAAGAAACATAAAAAAAACGTATCTTTTAAAACTGCCACAGATAAACCTAAGTCTATATACAAGTAAGAAAATACAATTCAATTAAATGGATCTTAATTAGAGTTCGTTAAAAAATACCGCAAGGGAGATATTATTTAAAAGCAAATAACAGTAATGGCAAAAAATATAAGCGGATTAAATAGAGTAGGATTTGCATACAATTTGCTTTTAATTACACTAGTAAGTTCATCCGGTTTTATTATACAGGTTTTGAAAACAAAGCCACTGATTTATATCAACAGCTTTATTTTTAAATATTTATTATAAGATTATATATATATCATGTATTCATATTATTAGCTTATACCCACAATGTACTCTGCTTTTCTTAGATAGAAAATAGCTTATCTTCATGCCAAACAGAAAGATAGACCATTATGTGGCATATATTAATTTAATTGATATCTTTTCACCCAATTTGACATGTAAGAGTTTACGTAAATAATGTAGTAATTATTAATTACTATTTTGAACTCTAAAGTTTAAAATCAAAGTAAATATATAAGCAACCATTTTATAAATAAGTAATTATGATTAGATTTTTTTTCTTTAAGAATTTGTTTTTAATTTCTTTATTCATAACCTTACATTCACGGTTATTTATTTTTTATCTAAGGATCACTTTGGCCTTGTAATCATTTGATGTACAGACAGACAGTTGCGTTTTTGTGTTGAAGTATCAACATGTTACTAATTCTTGTGCGTGTAGCTTGTATATTGCTGTGAGGCGTTTAATTAAGGTATATGTCAGTGGTAACTGGAGATTTGTGTCGCATACAGAAATAATTGAGGTGCGGTAAGTGGCTTTACTTGTCAGCTATTTTTAGCGGAGGTGCCACCACACTCGTGTGTTAGCGACACCTATACACACCGCTTGAAGATTCTGACAGAGACTTCAACTCCATTTCAGTTTCAAGTGAAATTGAAACATAAGTTTTCTTTAGAAGTAGAAGTAGCTTTATCGTATGATATATGTTAATTTTACATTAAAACTTCAAAGTTTGTACACATTTAAAAATTAGTCGCAATTTTTTAAATGTACGATAATGGAATGGTGTTTTCGTTTTCGCTTATGGTATACGCGCAATAAAAGTGTAATGCGATAGTATAAAGTCAGATAAGTAAGGCCATCTTGGCGAACTCAGCAGGTATTAACCACGATGTTATCCAGGGTGAACCGCGTGGAGGTAGAGCTAGCAATGGGGCCATAGGCACTAACCAACTTCAATCCCCTATGTATATTTATATAGGTCCATACTATAATTGAGTCGTATTTTTTATTGCGAGTTCATCGGTGTAATATGTGTATTTTTAACCGGGATGTAGAATTAATAAGTGTAGAGGAATGCTGTAGGACAGAATATTTTAATAACAAATTAACTCAAAACAAAAAAAAAATATGGAAATGGATATCAACTTCATTTTCATATTTTTTGTTTTGAGTTAATGCATTTCTTTATTAAGCGTGTATTTTAATGTTACAGATAAGAGAATATTACATAATAATAGTAAGATTAATAATTCACCCACTGAAATTTAGGTCAATAATGCAATATAGAAAATTAGTTTCATTTAAGTATTCCCCTGTCTAAATCTTGACATCCAATACAATATGTTACTGCCGAAAACAATATACGTCTCAGCCAGATTTCGTCAAAACCAATAGAATTGTCATAACATTGCAGAGTAGAAAATGTTCGAAATATGCCTATAGTTACAATGTCATATTTACAACTGACTTAAATAAATATAGTGTGGTCTGTATTCAGTTTTAAAGAACTATTCAAATGCACTGCAACTTTTAAACCAATTTATGACTTCATCATAGCAACTATCGGAGAATTATAAACATTTGAATTATGGACACATACATGGATTTAACACAAACTTATAATTAATGAAAAGACATGGAAATACTACTAGATTAGGCTGCATGGTCTCGTACCTTTGCCTATCCACTTGTGGATAAAATATACCACTACTACTATAAATTTATCTGTTCATTTAAATTTACATATAAACACAAACAATAATTGCCCCGCTTAAATATAAAATAAATTAATTGTTGATGTTTTGTGCTATTTTGTTCAATCTTATTCGAACGTAGTTTTAAAATATAGAATATAGTTCGTTTGATAGTTTGTAACATTTTATTGTACAGTAAATACATTTAAATTAACTAAGGATCTTAAATTAGATAGTATTTTTGTTCGTCAAATTAAGCAATTTACATAATACCCCTTTTTTACTGTTCAGTTTTTATATAACATATTTCCTTTGCTAAAACAAACCGTCGACATGAAGCACATATTTGATCTATACAATTATTAAATTAATTATGTACTTTGCTTAGTAATATATACATACAGTTCGGTACCCAACAATTATATAAAATTAAGAAAATCCATTCAATTCTAGAAAAAATATTGCGTTATATGAAAACATAAATGGAATAACTGAATATTGAATTGAATCTCCTTTTGGTAGTACATTGAGAATATTCTATGTCATTGTGTCATACTTAATAAATCTACGACCTACCTACCTACATAAATATGGTAAACGGTGCTTCCACATGTGAAATGATGATAGGTCGTGGGCGAATTTAATGAAAATGATATTCATTATTAATGCAAATAAAAACCGATTTACATGAATATTAAATAAAACAATCACTTATGCTATATTTAATATTGTTTAATTTGAAAAATTATATCTGGTTTTTGTCAAAAGCTGGTTTAATGTATTATTAAAACTGCCTCTCAATTTATTAATTGCTACCTCTGCTTTCGTTTGAATTCGTTTTATTAAATAATTCGTCGTATTTATCAGCGACGTTTAAGCCTAATAGTTTTATTTATTAATAATTCTTTCCTTGTTGCTTTCGCTTATTTCATTATAGAGAGCGAAGTTATAGCAAGCTGTGTTCGGTTCTGTATTGTTTTTAATAATTTCGTTTAAATAAATAAGAACTCCATATACAATACCATCTAGTCCTACACAAAGCAGAGATTATATGTACCAGGCAACTAATCATGTAATATATCTATATGTCTATACTAATGTTATAAAGAGGTAACTTTTTGGGATTTGTTGGGATGTTCGGGGTAATCTCCGGTCTTCTTCTTTTGTTTCAATGGCAACTAAATATATTGTATTCTATCGCATTTTTTAGATATTCCTTTGTGCAGGATGTCCGGTAATAGAAATAGATTAGTAGAAATCCAATTTTGATAAATCTATTAGTGTTGGTTAGTTAATTTATCAAGAAATATACATCAAATCAAATATCAACTATCTATCAAATCATTACTTATAATTAAGTTAATACAACATTAATATGAAATAAAACAACATTAATGTATATATAAAATTAAACAAAGCATAAGCTATGTTTAATTTTAAAAATATACTTGATTTGGACAAAAGCGGGTACCTATTTTGTCTATATAGTATATAATATTAGTACATATAATCTCTCTAATATCTAAACTACGAGTAACTACGACATTAAAAAGCTAAGTGAAAGAAACAATGTGTAATTAATTGATATCTTTGTGTTGATCCGGTGTATGTGAAAATAAATTTAATGTGGTTCCCATACAGTATTCTGTTAGTTCATTGTCTTGTAAATAAATAGCGCCAGGTATTATATGAAAGTCTTACTTACATAGACTTTCTAAATGTATTATAAATGTAAAGTAGAGTTCTTTTCTTTCCTATCTATATAACCTACTCTAAATATAGTTCTTAGTATCTTCATTTGAATGTGTTATAAATCTATATTTATAACATATTCTAAAGTAGGTGTGCACGTGATATTTTATACTTTATCTTACTTATTTCTTCCGACAAGCTGCTTGTTTTGTAAACTTAAAGAACCGTTAGCTTGTCGGAAGAATTAAGTAATATAAAGTGTAACGTAAGTGAAACTGCGGGCACAGCTACTTTCATTAAATAATTCGTCGTATTTATGAGCCACTTGTATAAAATATTGGTGTCTGTGTAATTAATTTGTTTATTGTTTGTCTCATCAGCTGATGGCGTACTATCCACTGTGAACGTAGTGGAAGCACTTCAAGAATTCTGGCAAGTGAAGGCAGCACGCGGTAGTGGTGCCGCGGGGGGAGGTGGCGCCCTGGTTATATACGAGTCCGTCCCCGCCGCACATCCGCCCTATGTGTGCTATGTCACGCTTCCCGGAGGCGCATGTTTTGGTAGTTTTCAGGTAAATCAATCAGCATACACTCATATGTATATACAGTCAGCATATATGTATATAAGATGTATCTTATATATAAATCTGTACTGTGTGATTTTTTTTAAGGTAAAGTAAAATAGACATGTTTATTGATTTATTATTATTAGATATGTCTTTATATATTTGCTATAAACCGAAATGTAATATCTTAACTCTGTATAATATAAACATAAAGTTGGCTTTCTTGCTAGTTCCTGCAAGCTTAGCTGCTGCTTTTTTTATACTCGTGTCATCTTCGTTATTTACTCATTTGATAATTCAGTATATATCTCTACATTTGTTTTATTGTAATCACGTTTTTTTTTAATATCTACCTAACTCTATAATTATACAATTGCAACAAAATATAAACAGTGGAATATAATATAAAATCACTGACCACAACAAACAAAACACAAAAACCACATAAGTGGCTAAAACTTCTATCAGGTATAATACCTAAGTATATAAACTTATATTATAAGCGTGTCACAAGGGCTGCTATACTCGCGGGCAGTGTCACGTAGTACAGTTATTTTATACTTTAAGATGTATTAGTAGTTTACAATTATGTATTGTTCCATCAGAATTGCCCTACAAAGACTAAAGCGCACTATACAGTTATTTTATACTTAAAGTAATATTAGTAGTATAAACTCCTGTTATATTTATGCATTGTTCCATCAGAATTGTCCTACAAAAGCTGAAGCGCGCCGCAGTGCTGCCAAGATAGCGTTGATGAACAGCGTGTTCAACGAGCATGAGTCGAGGCGTATCACCGAGCATTTCATTGAGAAGGCGGTCGCAGAGGCGAGAGCTTCCTTTGCTGGTGATGCAGCGGCACATCACCAGGACCCTAGCGCGGGAATAGCCGCTTTTCGGTAAGAATTATGTTATGTACCTGTAGTTTTTTATTATTGGAAAAAATACAACATTCTGAAGTATACTATATTTTTTGTGAAAATTTTAGGTAATTTTTTCGCTAGTTGTAACTCAAGTTTTCGTATTCAATTAAAAATATTAATTTTTATTTTACTTTGTAATATCACAGATAACATAATATTACAGTAATATTAAAAAAATAAGTTTTTTCTGATCTCGCCTTTGAGAATCCTTATTTCCTTATCTTATATTCTAATACATTTAACTGTTGGTTCTCAATTTCATCTGTTGGAAACATATTTAATTATTAGGTTAACTTTAATTTCAATAAGAAAGTCTATTAATCATATACTTACAAATAAATGTGACAGATCTACTGATCTGTAATAATGTAATAATACTAACAATACACGTTTCCGTCCATAGGTTTATGTTGGAAGCAAACAAGGGCCGGACGATGCTAGAATTCCAAGAGTTAATGACTGTATTCCAGCTCTTACACTGGAATGGTTCGTTGCGCGCAATGCGAGAACGCCAGTGTTCTCGGCAAGAAGTGGTGGCCCATTACTCCGCGCGGGCATTAGATGACGCGATGAGGGAGCAAATGGCTCGAGAATGGGCGGCTCGGGAAAGAGAGGCGGCTTCCACAGCCGGGGGGGTGTTGAGGGGGGAGCTGGCTCGAGCAGAACGGGAGCTCCGTGCCGCACGTCTTGCAGCACGAGAGCTTCGTTTCCCGAAGGAGAAACGCGACATATTGCTGCAGGCCGCGCGGCTCGCCCCTCCACAGCAGCAACAGTGATCTCACCGCCGTCGACGCATGATTTCTTTTATTAATTAAGTATAGTTTTATAGTATAAGCAGAATTTGTTTTATTTATATTTACCTTCCCTATAATAAGATTTGAATTGGAATAATATCTAATATTATAAATGAGAAAATCAATTTGTTTGGTACGTAAATATATCTATACGGCTTCTTCAATAAGTATGAAATTAACTCCATTTAGGATGGAGAAGGCCATAGGTTCTTTTATACCAATCGATCATGGTCAACAGGATGTCGTAGGACGTAAGTTGTAGGAAGTCAGGGTATTTTTAATATAACTAGAATAGCACACCATCTAACGGCCTATGATGGTAAGTGGTAACTGTCACCTATATACGTCCCATCGTGTCATGTCCAAAATAAAGGTAATGGCAATTCAAAGGACAAAAATACAATAAGCTTTCATACTGTGTAATCTATTTGTTTTCTTTTATGTAAAAAAACATATTTTGCATAAAATCTTACGGTACTAATATTACAAACTCTTTTAGTACCCTATATTGGAGGAAAAGAGAATCACTGCTAATGAAGACTAGTGCCCATAGTGCAGGTCGATCTCTATGTAGTCCTTGTTAAAATTCATCGTTATTAATTCCTGATGTATTTGGCAGAAAAAGTTACAAGTCAGTTAAAAAATAGTTAACTTCATCTTATGATCCTCTACTGGTGCCAAGCCAATTCGTTATTGGAGGTAAATGGATCTCATTGAGGTATTTTCTCTCGATATATAGATAATAATAATAATAATAATAATCTCAGCACAATTAACACAGCGCCATCTAGACCCAAGTTAAGCTAAGCTAGCTAAAGCTTGTGTTATGGTTACTAGATAACTGATACAAATACATAGATAATTTTTTTTTCGTAAATACATACATATTATACATAGAAAACACCCAGACCGATACAAACAGTCATACTCTTGAATACAAATGTTTGTGCCGTGCGAGGAATCGTACCAGCGACCATCGGACGTAAAGCGGTGTGCTAGACTGCTAGACTACCGAGGTGGTCAATATTATTATAGATTATTATTAGAGATGGGTGCAATATTTTATTCTCATCCATTAAAAATCTACATGTATGATTTTTATTCCAAGATAGCATAAAAATTAATTTATATATGATAGCAAACATAAAAATGTCTTTCATAAATAGAGTCTAGGGGTATTAAACTATCGTAGGTAGAACTACAAAAACAAAGTAAATTTCCCTTAAGAGAAGCTGGTGCAGATTTCATATGCTACCTCGGCAGACCCTTTAGTCAAACTCAAAAATTCGTTCGTATTAGTTTAGCAATATGACTCTGTAGAGTCTAAAACATCGTATAAAGTTGGATTCCAATCTATAATATAATTGATGAAATGTAGAGATATTATAATTTGTCTATGGTTTCTAAAAACAATAACTTCATACGATCTTGCGACATATAAATTATGGACATAAAAACTATTTGAAATCAAATTTCGAGCTGGATGGAAAACCCCGCGGTGCCCAGAGCCCCGGCTGCTGTCCTCGTACAATGTGGAAGCAGAATGATGAGATAAGCAGTGAAATTACAGGATGGTAAGACATATTAGTCCTCCCAATTTCATTAATAATCCATTATTAATTAGTCCATATATTTTACAAGTTTTTGAATAATAGTTTTTTCAATAATGACATTTACATTAATTATGCAATTGAGAAATTAACACAATTAGAAGCTACTTGCTTATATAAGGTTAGCTGACTTGTTCAACTTGATTTGCAACACACTTACTTGACATCTATCATTATATTTCGCTAAATTTATATAATATCTTTTTAAGTTATACCCTATCTGTTATTCTGATGTATAACCTGTATTACTATAAAATTTCATCAAAATCCGTTAAGTAGTTTTTGCATGAAAGAGTATCAAACATCCATCCATTCGTCTTTACAAACTTTCGCGTTTATATTAGTAAGATTCCTGCTATAGGACAGATTTTAATAAAAATGCATAGTTATTATATTGTCGTGTATATATAAATATGCATGTGGGGTGGTCCGTATGCAGGTGGTTGAACCAAGTTCGTTGACACCGTGTCCTGACTTTTTCAATTCCACAAATATTTGGATTGTGATCATTATGCTTCGCGTCAGAGGCGGTGGCAGAAAGGAGCCCAAATCAACATACAGGGTGATGGAAAACATATATATATATATATATATAACATATATATCTAGGCCTTGTTCTTAGCATGCATTTTTTTATAGATGATGATAGGTGCCTCTGTTTGCACTAACTTGATATTTTAGTGCCGCACCAGTGGAAGACGATGACGATGAGCATCAGTTGACCCATTGTTGTGACTTCGCCAGTAATTCAAAACATTGGGTCAAAATTAAGTGTAAATTCTCCAGTAATTCAAAATAATGGGTCAAAATTAATAAGAGAGGAAAGAGTAAAAGAGTTAGATAGTAAAGAAGTTAACACTTCCCTTTATTAGGAATCGACTTTACTAAGGATATAAAACAGACGACTTCCAAAGTATAACTGCAAAAATGTGCTGTCTGTAACTTTATTATCTTTTCACGATCAACGATAATTGAACAGAACGATGGGAATTTTAATGAAATTTGACATTAAGATACTCGTAGATTATATCACGAACACGGATCTATACTATCTAATGATTTGAGTCTCGGTGGTATTGTACGCGTCGCGGGTTCGCTTCCTTGCACGGTGCAAACATTTCTAATAATGAGCATGATTTTTTGTATTTACAAAAAATAAATGTAATTGTATCAGTTGCTCAGTACCCATAACACAAGCTCAGCTTAGCTTGGGACTAGATGTTACTATGAATTGTCCTGTTATTATTATCAGCTAATAAAGAAGAAACAATGTCCGAGTAAGAATGAAAACTTAAAATACTATTAAGCCGCGAGCGTGGTAATAATTGCCGAACAAGTCTCCCTCGTGGACAAAACAATGTTGCTGTGATGATACTACAGGTGATTAAGAGGCAATAAGCTTCCTTGTCCCATAAAAGGCATGGAGGGGTTTATACATTTATTTGTTACACAGCTATATGAATTAAATATTTGAGTATAAATTGCTCTAATAAGTTACTGAATAATATTCAGTTAGTAAACGATAGAATTACAACAAGAATCATCACCATTCGTTTTAGTATATATTTAGCATATGTATATACAAAATTATCAAGTCGTAATAAGGACTTTCTACTTATGGGAGTTGAAATAAAATACTGAAATAAATATCTGTTTGGAAACGCAAAATTAGTTTTAGCAGTTAGTTAATTTACTAAAAATATGTACAACAATAAACAACAAAGTATGAACATATAGTTTTTGTACTTCAGCATTTCCATAAATCATTAGAAACATACTTTGTATTTTATACTGCGCTTAATAGTCAAAATAAATAGAGTTCCTCAAGAGGAAGTTTTAGGTTATATAACAACTGAGCACGGATCTTTAATCGCGCGATAACCTATAGTCCACGCGGGCAAAGCCGCAGGCCGAAAGCTAGTTTAAAATAAATAGGCCAATAACGCACTTACAATTCCCTTGGTGTTGCACATGGGCTGCGGTAATCACATACCATTAGGTGAGTCGCTTGCTCGTTTGTCCCCTATGCTATAACAGAAATTTGCTAGTTTGTCTTGTCTTTATACTTTGTAATCCATAATAAATAAATGCGAAAATGAGTGTGTATGTATCTTACGGACACAGTCCATTTTTTATCTCAAAAAGTAGATATAGTTGAGGGTCAGAGCTAGTCATTTAAATATTATTCCTAAGATACAACTATAATATTATACATAATATTTTTTTATCTGTGGTTACAAGTTAACATTTTACAACTTAAAATCTCCGTAATATCATATGTGGGATTTGCAATGGAACTCATAAACACCATGTAGGCCACGAAGCATGGAACTGCGGCAGCGGCTGTGTGATCAGGTGCAGTTCCGGAAACCGGCGCACGCGCACCTCCACTGGGGCTAATATTGACACGGCCTCCCCCGCCTCCCACCGGCCACCAACTCACTGACAGCCATTTTGTTGTTGAAATGTTTTAAATTTATAGATATGAAAAAAATATTTCATTAAGTAGTGAATGACTCAGCTTTGAATTCATACAGTTATTGATGTGTTCTATTTCTTCAAAAATAAAAATACATTCTATGTTATCGGTTTATTAAAAAAATCCCTTTTTATTAGCTAATTTTATATAAGTATATACATATTACTATTTTTCCGTCAGAGTTGGCAACTTTAAACCACTTACCCCTAACTTACTTATGAAGCATCGAAGAAAGAAATAAAATATCTGATAAAATCTCTTACAAACTTGTACGATAATGAAAATGTACTTGTACTGAAGACCACTAATGTCGTCCTTATACGAGGATTCTCATATAGTTGGCACCTCTGTCTACTGTGATGCCCTTGTGTCAAATTGCCAATGTAACAATAATGTAGTGTTCTAAATTTAAAATATTTTTTAGAATAAGTGAAGTATTTTTTTTAATTTATCGATTAAAACATAAATCGATAAATGTTATCCTACATTTATCTAATACGTCTACACTACTCTTTAAATCGGCAAGATTTTATTTTATTTTCTGTATGTTTTAATCGATAAATTAAATAGTTAATATAGTTATTCTATAACTATATAAAAAAAATATAGTTATTCTCATAAATGAAATAATACCTAATACTACACAAATCCTTCGCTGATGGTATTGGAAAAGATAAAAATGATACCAATATTCAAAATTATAGGTTAGGTACTTGTTTTTGAAAACGTACGGTAATATGAGTACAAAATCAGATTAATGTTATTGACTAGCGCTACTTAATTTATTATTGCCGATTCCCTTGAACCGCATGTCATGCCATTTGCAGCGTGACTTTTTGAAGGGCTTGAATGCCTCTCAATGTTTAAGCTACAAAATTTTACAAATGCGGCAAATAATTTTAAAAGAACATGTCCAATTCATATGCATTCTAATGTAATTTTATATAAGTGAAGGAA